CAGCCTCCCAAAGTGCTGGGATTACAGGCGTGAGCCCACGGATGGATTCTTAAGCAATTACAGTACAATGTGATAAGTTCTCTCATGAAATTTCTCTGTTCTTTGAGCAGAGAAGGAGGTGCTTAACTCCTTCAATTTGTCTTTTATGTTTAGAACAAAGCGAAACTTAGGGCACGTTTTGGTGATTAAGCCTCAATTTTCCGGAACAAGGATAGAACGAGTTGTACTGTATGTGAGCAATCTATGTATGCAAAAGAAAAAAACAAGTTGTAATAAATGCATTTTGAGAACCCCAAATCCACTAGCCTACTTAGAGTGAAAAGCAAAGACAGTAACTCCTGTCTTCCAAGAACTGGCATAAGGAGTTTTGTTACTAGTAATGTCTGTGTATGTATAAGCAAAGGACTTGGGAACCGGGGTACTCTCAGAAAGATTGGGGAAGAAGGCTTGCTAAGAACATCGAGTCTGTGTATTGGGAGTTTGGGGAAGGGAAGGCAGGATGGTGGAGGAAAATAAGGCATCAATTGAGGAAAGATTGGTCGTAGACCACGGGTAGGTTATTTCGATGCCCTTGCCAGCTCTTCTCCTCATGGCTCAGCGTGTCCTAACCTTCGTGTTTACAGATAACGTACAGGGGATATACACAGAAGTTTAAAATGTATAGTCACAATGCTTAAAAGTCAGGTGGTATTGTTTTTAACTTTGTATGGTGGAACTCAATTTAGATCTGGAGCACATATTTCCACTTAGGGTAACTCAGTCGCTTCTGGTTTAAAAGTGAGTATCTTCTGAGTAAATCAAATAAATTCCCCCTACCCTTTCTCTTTCCTTTCTCCTTGGGTTCTCAGAGGGCTTATGTATTATCTTGTCCTGGGATGTATATCTTGTCCATGAATCTCTCTCTGGCCGTTTCTGGACTAGGTTGAGATATCATCATTCCCAGTTGCTCAACAGTACGCAAGACTGGCGGTGAAGCAATGAGAGTGTAGGGTGGTAGAGCTATCTCAGATTCTAACTTAAAATGTCACAGGGTCACCATTTCCACTCCAATATCAGCTGCCACAGCTGCCCAGGGCAGGGTATGAGATGTTAGGGAACTTCTGTTTTCAGATCCCCAAATCTGTCTGCGTGTTTCTAACCACCTCCAGTGGAGAATGGGAATTCAGGCTAAGCAAGAATCAGGCCACGTTCTTTCTAGTCCATCCTTCTCTGTTTTAGCCAAGCTGTCCTCTAGCCAAGGAAAGGATTGCGGAGTCTTCCCATGCAACGAGGCATAGCTCTGATGTCATATCTGGTGTTCTCCCTACCCTATGGCCTATAGTTGCCATTCTGTGCTCAGTCCTCCAAGTTTGATTCTCCATGATTCAAAACCCATCTTCTATTTATTTATTATTTGTTTAATTTTTTTAGGGATTAATCGAGGATTTACAATATCCATCTTTAACACAGTCTACCTTCGAATAGTATTATACCACTTTATGTATAAGATCTGAACCTTAGGCCGGGTGCAGTGGCTCATGCCTGTAATCCCAGCACTTTGGGAGGCTGAGATGGGCAGATCACGAAGTCAGGAGTTCGAGACCAGCCTGGCCAATATGGTGAAACACTGTCTCTACTAAAAATACAAAAATTAGCCAGACGTGGTGGTGCATGCCTGTAGTCCCAGCTACTCAGGAAGCTGAGGCAGAAGAATCGCTTGGACCCGGGAGGCGGAGGTTGCAGTGAGCCGAGATCAGGCCACTGTACCCAGCCTGGGTGACAGAATGAGACTCCATCTCAAAAATAAATAAATAAATAAAGGACAATATGCTTCCATTGGCACCTGCTTATTCTTCGTGCTGTTATTGTCATATATTTTGCTCTATGTATGTTATCAACCCCACAGGATATTATTGTTGTTGCTTTAAACCATCAATTATCATTTAAATGAATTAAAAGATGAGAAAGAAAACATGTTTATGCTACTCACACATTTCTCTTTGCAAGCATTCTTTTTTGATTTTTGTAAATAGAAGTTTCTACCTAATGTCCTTTTCCTTCTGCCTCAAGACATTTCTTTAACATTTCTTTTAGTGCAAATCTGCTAGTGATGAGTTCTCTCAGCTTTTGTTTATCTAAAAAAGTCACCTTCGTTTTTGAAAGATATTGTTGGTTATAGAACTGTACATTGGCAATTTCGGTTGGCAAGTTTTTTTGCTTTCAGTACTTTCGAAATGTCACTTTTTTGTCTCCTGGTTTGCATAGATTCCGATTAGAAGCCTGACATTGTTTTTTGGTCCCTAAATGTAACATGGCTTTTTTCTCTGGTTGATTTTAAGATTTTCTTATTTTCATTGTGTGTGTGTATGTATATGTGTGTGTGTGTGTGTGTGTGTTTAGTAATTTGATTATAATATGCCTTGTTGCAACCTTGTCTGTGTTCATCCTGCTTAGAATTTATTGAGATTCTTGTAGGTTTATAGTTTTTATCAAATATGGAAAAAATTGTTCATTTTTCATAGGGTTTGGCTGTGTCCTCACACAAATATCATCTTGAATTGTAGTTCCCATAATCTCCACGTGTCGTAGGAGGGACCCTGTGGGAGGTAATTTGGTTATGGGGGCGGTTACCTCCATGCTGTTCTTATGATAATGAGTGAGTCTCAGGAGATCTGATGGTTTTCTAAGCATCTGGTATTTCCCCTGGTGGCACTCATTCTCTCTCCTGCCGCCCTGTGAAGAGGTGCCTTCTGCCATGATTGTAAGTTTCCTGAGGCCTCCCCAGCCATGCGGAACTATGAGTCAATTAAACCTCTTTCCTTTATAAATTACCCAGTCTCCGGTATTTCTTCATGGCAGTGTGAGAACAGACTAATATAATTTTAGTTCTTCAACTACTGTTTCTGTTTCCCTGTCCTCCCCACCTCTGCCAGCGAGACTCCAATTAGATATACATTAGCTTTACAGCCTTACATTGTCACTAATTTATTTTGGGTAATTTTATTGCTATGATTTCAGGTTCACTGATCTTTTCTTCTGTGTCGTCTAATCTGCTATTAATCTCATCAAATGAGAATTCCATTTCAGATATTGCATTTTTCATCCCTAGAGGTTCCATTTGCTTCTGATTTAAATATTCTACTTTTCTCTTTATTATAGTCATGTTTTATTTTACAACCTGGAACAAGCAAAGTATATTTTTAGTAGCTGTCTGAATAGCCATGTTTGCTAATACTATCACTTCTGTTATTTCTGGGTTTGTTTCTGTATACTGATTTTTCTCCAAGCTATTAGTCACATTTTCTTGCTTTTTTGTATGTCTGGTAATTTTTTATGGAATCATAAGCATTATGAATTTTACATTTTGGGGTACTATATTTTGTTACACTTCTGTAGAAATGCTAATTTTTTGGCAGGTATTTTAGTTACTTGCAGATTAGTTCAACTCTTTCAAGGCTTACTTATAAGCTCTTTTTGGATGGGCCTGGAATAGCCTTTATTCTAGGAATCATTTTGCTTAATTTCTAAACCCTGGCCCTTCTGGAGTCTCTAATGAATGTGTCCTGTATTCCACCCAAATTCTTCCTGTTTGGCTGGTGTGCATGTCAACAATTTATGGACACGTGATCTCTGGAATTATTTGGCCTGCAGCTCCCCTGTAACTGTTCTCTCCTGCAAGTTTTTCTTGCCTGGTCATGTAGAGTTTTATCCTGCCTAGACACAGGATTGATATTCAGCCAACAACTCAAAGGCAACCCCTTTGCAGACCTCTGGAGATCTAGGTGTAGCCCTCCTGCTCTTTTAGAACTTTGTCCTGGAAATCCTAGCTCACTTAGTCTTCCTGATCTCCAGCTCCTTAATTCAGTGACATTGCGGGGCTCTCTTTGATTTTCTCTTTCCTATGCTGGAGTCTGGAAATTCTCTTATTGCAGAATGCATGGAGATGTTAGGACTCAACTTGCTTTTTCCTATTTTCTCAAGGATCACAATCCCGTGTTGTTCAATGTCTAAAAATAGTTGATTCTAACATAGTGTTCAGTTTTATAGTTATTTACAGCAAGAGGATAATCTGGACCCTCATGGCCAAGCCAGAAGTCTTCAAAGTCCCTCTATTGTATATTGGCTCCTTGATAATTACATTTTTCTCTTCATAATTGTGGTAAATGCAATGACTTTATGGAGAATGCCTAGAATCTACTTATTTGGTGTTTGAAAGGATAGATTTACCTGAAAATGATAGAAATTCCATAGGAAGGAAATATTAATTCACAGAGATATAAGGAATTAATTCAACAATATTTATTAAGCACCTTATATTTGCTAGGTGCTGTTCTAGTTTTTCGGGATACGACAGTAAGTGAAGAGATTAAAAGAAGCCTCTTTGCTGTGATCAAGTCTATTGTAGAGAAAATAGAGAAAGAGGCAACAAGCATAATAAGTAAAATCTTAAAATCTATAACACGTCAGATGGTAAGTGCTATGGGAATTACAGAGAAATAATAATCCTTTCAGCCCACATGTGGCACTGATTGGAAAACATGGCCACTGTCCCTTCATAAACTTTAATGACAGAGGCCATCTGCTTAGAGGTACAATAGCCAACTATATTACCATAAATGTAAATCTAGTCTAGGGCTGTCCCCTCATGCCCTGTTAATCTTTGCAGTTTATAAACACTTACCACAAAGTCATATTCATGTATCTATTTGCCACCTTGATTTTTTTTTAAAGTTTCCCCAACAGGACTAGATACTCCATGAGGGTAGGTACCATGTCAGCCTTTGCTCACAAGTGTATCCCCAAGCACTCTTATAGGCTTGGCATTTGAATGGTGTTCAATAAGTGTTTGTTAGTTACTGAACACGTTTGTTAATGGAATTTATAGATGTGTCAGGTTCTAGATCCCTGCCTGGCTTAGACTTTGTATGTACACCCTTACTTTTCCCTTCAAAATTGCTAGTCAATTTCTCTTTGAAAGTTACCAGTTGTGACTCTACTTTTCCTTCTCTTTCTTTCCACAGCTGTGCAATCATTGCACACCCTCAATGACCAGATTTCCCATTTTATTGTCACCAAGTCGAAGGCACTGGAGGAGGACAAAGACCCTTTTCTACCCACTGAGAAGGAGACTCTGAAGAGTTCCATGATATTGATGAGGCACCTCTTAATGGATGCTCAGGTACAAAGATCAATACAGAAATTCCCTATGGAGCAGGTGGAATCTTTTTTTCTTTTTGGCATAAGCTGTCCAGAAATGTTCAACTACTGTACCTATTGAAACCCGTTTTTCCGATATAACAGATTGGATAGGTTGAGTATTGGATTTCTGATTGTATCTTATTTGGGATTTAGTATTAAAATAGCTTTTTAAAAAGTCAAAGTAATACAGCTTAAGAAGAGTATATTTGTTGTCTCTGAGAATTTAACAGATCTCCCATTAGCCTTGGAAAAGTGAAAATCCATTTACATATAAACTTGGCAGGCATCAAAGCTGGCAAAGGCTTTGGAGTAGAGCAAATACTTGTCCCAAACAACATTACTGAGTAAGTAATGAACATTTTGGTGCATTTGCCGTACCCCCCCCCCCAGTAAGTGCATCAGCACTGGTTTTGCTAGCACTGAATTTATTACAGAAGGTATTTAGCTCATTGTAGGCTATTGTTGAGATGTTATTCAAGGTTTCTCCTTGTGTACTATTTTATCGAAATATTTAAAAGTAATCTCTCTACTCCTGGCTTTGTTGGTGGGTCTCTTCAGACATGTTGATAGACAAACAGCAGGTGTTTTAAGAGAATTGATAGTTTTCTATGTTAGGAAAGCCAAACCGAACTAGATCTAATTGTCATTCCTACCTCTTCAGTGTCGGGAAATGTTTCAGGAAACGTTCTGTGGGTTTGGTGATTTTCGCGTTCATTTGCCCTGGGGCTTTCTTCCTGAGCTTGTTTTCTGTTCAGCATTGGTGAGGTCAGAATGGTTGGTGGTTTCTTGCATTCTGCTCTGTAGCAGAGATTTTGAACTGTGGTTTCTTTGCTTTTGTTTCTACCCTAGTGGTGGTTTATGTTTTATTTTTAAAATCAATCCTGAAGCCTGGGTCTTGTACCAATAAGGCTTTAACTGGCTGTGCCTTTGTGCGTCTCTCACCTGTCAATGCCTGAAGCCGCCCTATGGGATTTTTTGAGGCCCTCTGTTGAGATGGCCCGAATTATGCAAAGCCTTTCATTCCTATTCACGGTTCTCCTGCTTTCCTTCATTATCAACAGCCCATTCAGCTTCTCCTCTCCCCCAGCCTGTCTGGTGGAAAAAGGAAGGATTCTGAAGCTACAACAGCCAATTTTGAAACTCAGAAAAAAGGGAAATTTAGAACAATTTACTGAATAAAAGAGAGCAAATTGTTCTTGAAAGGATTAGCTTTCCTCCAAATGCCTGGTCCCAGTCCTGTAGCCAACACCTCAGTCAAGGGAACTGCCTAACTGAATCCCAAAAGGCATTGTGTGTAAACTCCAGTTTGCAAAATCTAAGGTACTAAAAAAAGTGCATATTTTTCCTCTCCTTCACATCTGAGCTTACTAGTGCCTAGAACTGGATTTCGAAAATGTTAAATATTCCGGAAATGTTTGCTCCCACCAAATGCCTAATTCATTAGACTTCATCCTTCGTGGTGTTGACAGTGAATTTTCCCTTTTTTATTTAATGAGATTAAAATACCCGCTATCATGTGGTCATCGTGTGGGAATATTTTCCTATCATATTCTCTCCTGATCCCAAATCAATGACTGCTAGAATGCTCTCCCTTAAATGGCCAGATAAAATGGAGCAGGATATGGTGGATATTCTCCTAAGTCATATGCTAAAAAGGAAGGTGGGTTACATCTTCTTCCTCTTTCCTGAAGGTGGGTGTCTACCTGGGTCAGGTAGAAACGTCATGTGGAAACCCCATTGTTTCTTTTGCCTCCTAACATTCCAAGATTCCTTGCTTCTGTCTTTTAAACTAACAAAGAATGAAGTGGGTTGTGATTAGTTTAGTATACCACTCTGATTGGTTTTCTTCCAAAACTGCTAACTTTTTGAAACAGTGTTTTCGTTATGATCCTCCCTTCCTTGCTGAAGTCAATTGGGATCATGTCACCTGATATTCCCAGTCCTCCATTCTACTCCTATCTCAGATGAGTGTTGCCAAGCTTATAAAATGCCAAGGGATCCCAACGTTTTGGGGATGGCCAGGGATGATATGTGATTTTGAGTTTTGAAGTAGGCACCTAAAAATTTGTCATTTTTTTAAAAAAGAATTTTTATTGGGCATTTTGGGGGCAAATTCACTTATTTTCCATCCATGCTTTAACTTTTCACTTACTTTCGATCTGTACTTCTTCCCTCAATTCCAAAGACAAATGAGTGTACTCATTTTCATACACCAAGTTCATCAACAGTGGGAGGCTGATAGAATGTAGATATAACTTACCTGAACATCCTTTCGTTCAGTCTGCATTTTATGATATTAATAGACATCTCTTAGGTTTGTGTGTTGCAGGATGTAAGCCTTTCAAGGGTAGTAACCACATCCTTGAACTTGGTTGGTATAATAGCCCTCTCAGTTCCATACCCACAGGGCCCTTAATAGTATTAGATTATGATGAAACACTCTGACATCAGCTTACAAGTCGAATGAAGTCAGGCAAAAAGTGTTCCACAGAACCCGGAGGCTGCTTGAGAGTGACTGCTTAAAAGGCATAATCGATTCAAGTCACATCTGTTTTGGAAGCAATAAATCCTGCTTAGGAGAATGTCAAAGGCAAAAGCATTGCTGGACTATGAAATTCCACCTCTGAGGATTATAAAACAATGTGCACAGAGCAAACACATCTCCCAAGTATAATGGGGAAGCCAGAGATGATTGGCAGGCCTTACAATCCATCCTGGAAAATGGAATCGCGAAGGGAGCACCTCACATGGGCAGCCCAGAAAGCCCGCAATTATGTATTCATCCCCTAAACGTTTCGAGCATGGAGGTGTCTGAAGAGGCATAGCACCTCTATTTGCATTCCATTTCCTTTTTAGTTTGCAGGCCCCCAAATTCAATGGAGTTTGCCATTCAGATCGCATTTGAAACCTGATCTTGTGGCTTTTATTCCTGAGAGCACTGTCTAAACCCAAAATGCCGACTCAGCCTCCTAAGTGATTAGATTCATAACACCGAAGAGGCAATTCTTTCTGGTAGAGATTAATTCTTTTACTCGTACTGTGTGACTCCGCATGCTAAGAGGGGTTGATTATAGCAAATTAAATCTCTCATTGACAGTTCTCTCCCTTTTCCCCCCAAAGACCTAATATCATTATTTATTAAGGGGAGACAAATGCTCGGAAAAATAATAAGATCGGTTTGTTGGCAGGAAGGTCCCCCTCTTGGAGGCTGAGTGCTAAAGGGCAGAGAACTTTCTGTGCACCTAGGGGCTTCCTTCTGCCGGCCCGAGGAACAAAGGGTGCCTGGGGGACAGTCTGTGCTCTGCTGACCCAGAGCTGCTGCCTGGGTCTGGACAGGAAGTGGGTAGCTTCTTTGCCTAAAACTTGGCCTGTGCTGGGACTAAAAGGAAGAACTTACTTTAAGGGAGGCTGAATCATTGGTATACCCTTCTCAGAGGTCCATCTCTAGGAATGAAAGTAAACCCTTCAAAATAAAAATAAACCACGCAACTGTCATCTCTAAACAAATCTCGAACAAAGTCAATCGTTTGTTGGAAAAGACATGAAATTTGCTTCACTCTTCAAACTTCTTTTTTCCTCCTGCCCTTTTTTCCTCTTCCCTTTCCTTTTTGCTTTTCTTTGTCTTCTCCCCTTGCCCTTTTTCTCCCCACCCCACCCAGCATCTCTCCTCATCCCCTCCTATTTTCTCCTTCTCTCAACTCTATTCCCCTCCTCCCTCCCTCGCCTTCCCTTCTTTTGGTTGGCAAAATAAATCTTAGCTGAGATGTGGAATTACGTTCTGCGTTTTTCACTTCCTTCTCTTCCTTCCCTTTCTTGTTCTTTCCTTGTCTGTCTTTCTTTCTGTTATTTGTGTTCGGGGAACTGGAAAGCATATTTGCCAAAAGCCTATATTTCCCTTTGCCAAGCAAGAGCGGAAGCAGCAGCAGGAGGGAAACCTGGCATCCAGGAGGCAGATCGGGAGCCCTGCCAGGATCAGACACTGCATAGGATTTGGGTGGCTTCGTTTTTCTTTTCTCTTTTTAAAAGAGCGGTCTAGCAAACTCTTCCAGATGATTATGCTTTCCAATTGGTTTCTGGCAAAACTGGGCCGACTGAACATGATCAGCTATTTTAGCTGTCTGGACACTCCCTGGCCTCAGATGGGGAAGTGCAGTGTGGACCAGAGGAACCCTTGGCTCAGGTTCCTGGCAGATAGGGAGGGTTAGCGCCCCAAAGTCAACATCACCTTGCATTGGGAAGGACGCTTGGGGAACCGAGCGGTTCACACCTATTACAGAAGTACATTTTAATTTGATTCTCCTGTTACTAACACTTTCCATCCCTTCAGATTCTTTCTGAAGTTGATACCGTGATCAAGGTAGGCCTCTGTGGTTCTCACTGGTGCAGTTATCTGGAGCTTTCTAGCTGCAGCTGGCTTCAGGGTTATGCCCACGAATGTGACCTTGTTAGCCCTAGAGAATGTCTTGCCCTCACTTTGTACAAACTGAGACATCAGAAGAATCCTGGGCTTAAGAAGGTCACAGATGCTGGCTGCGGCTATGAATAGTACCGCACGTGTGGGCTTTCCTTATCCTCTGGGACGTAACACCATGATAGAGAAAGAATGAGATCTCTCTCCCTGGGTTCTCTTCCTTAGCAAGCAGGGAAGAAACTGACATTAGAACCAGGGAAAATAGGCAAAGCTTTCTTCCTAAGAAAATTACCCCGGGATGTCTTGAAGTCTACTCATCCCATCAGCTTCCACCTTGTAAAAGTCATTGGAGAAAGAAACACTTAAACGGATGCTGAAGAATTTAGTTCCCTTCACTAAAAAGCTACAATGATAAGCTGATTATTCAAAGGAGTCTTAGCGCATCCCCTCAAATAATCCATGTGCTCCATTACGCATCCTTTCCCTGTGAGTTTGCAAAAGCAGTGCTTAGTTTCCATTCTTAGTTGCAGAACTATCAAATCAGCAAGTCCAAAGCTTGTAGTTTTTTA